AGCCCAACAAAACATTTGCAGAAGTACCCTAACAACACTCAAACAATCGGCTCCATTTACAGCGTAACAATGATTTATATGCTCATTTCTACATCATCACAGTACTACACATGCAGTTGAGTTATATGAGAAAAAATAAAGCTACGCACGCCAAACACTTGCACGATATTCACTCGTGACTTGGTTCGAAATTACCTTCATCTATGTCGTCCATGTTCACGCCTTCAAGCTTGGTCAACAATGGCGGACTTTGTTTGCAGACTTCACGATTCTATTTTGGAGGTCAACCTTCTACAGGCTAGCCCCTATTTGACATCCATTCTCTTTCTCATTTTTTTTCTCTTTCTTCATTTCAACCACACATTCTATCAATAAAATAACATTACACATAAACCCAAAAATTATTATTACTTTTTAACCACACATTCTTCCATCAATCACTATTCCAGAATTTACTTTTTCTCCAAAATGAGTGTCAAACAGGGGCTAATATTTCATAATTAACAATCTTACAAATTAGTTTCAAAAATCAGGTCATATATGAAATATAATAATATATAAAAATATAGATAATATAGTTTATTTTTGAATAAAATATAATTCAAACTAGATCCTCAAAAAATGGAATTCTACCATTTATATCTCTTCACCCACAATCAAACAATCTCTCTCTAGAATCCCTAATTTCCAAAATTATCTTCTAATCACTACAATTTCTCCCCAAAATCTTCGATTTGGAGCCACGACATTCCTGTTCAACATATGACAATCACAATTCAGATGGAAAACTAATGAAATTTGTTCGGTTGGATATTTTTCAATAATCTAATTTTTCCAAATCACATACAGTAAATATATTTTGAAGGTACGCATACANATCAATCACTATTCTAGAATTTATTCTTCTCCAAAATGGGTGTCAAACACACTCAAAATGTCGAGGACTGGGCAACGGACGGGGCCGGTTCGATTTTGGACGAAACCCAACCCGGCCCGAAAATGTTGGGTATAACATATTTTTGGAACCGACCCGAAACGGGCCGCGGCCAGAACCGACCCAACCCGTTTCGGGGTAGGTTCGGGCCGAATTGGGCCGATTTGGTCATAAACAATCAATTAAAATTAAATAAATCATAAACAATCAATTAAAATTGAATAAATCACAATTTTTTACTAGAATTGGATTTATAAGTTGAATTTTTCCACGGAAGAAATTAAAGATTCACATCACAAACAATTATTTTCCTACATATGAAAATCATACTAACGAAAATAAGGCACACCTCAATTAATCAGAAAGACATTGCTTATAAAATCAAACATAATAAAAATTTCATCGAGCGCGAAAAATAAAAATAAAATATTACAGTCATCCAAAAATTTAAAATATACACTAATCTAAACTTAATTAAATAAAAAAAAAAAAAACTACAATCATCCAAAATTCAAAAACAAATAATAAAGTAAAATATCATCATCTTCGATTATCACATATCGTTCCTACAAAATAACAAAAATGTTAGAGAGACATTAATATTATAGTTAATCGCTCACATATTCCTTAAAAAAGTAACTTACTTGTGGTGGGTCAAATGAGGAAGAAATTATGTACTACTTGATTCAAACTCTAATTCGGAAAGCTTTACAAAAACAATTATTGAGTTAGAACCAATTAGATGAAACACACATATTTAACATAATTCATGAAATAGTTTTAACAATATTACCTTTATCCAATTTGGTATATTCCTCAACATCCTCCATGTAATATCTCTATGAGATCAAAGTTTCTTTTAGTCAATTTTGAGTACACACCAAGACCTCAATTGCAAGTTTGGACAAAGTGTCATATTTATTTCCATTAAACCTTCACCACTTAAGAACATCAAAATCCGTCTCCTCTATGTTTTCACAAGCATCCAACACGTATCTATCCACATCATTTTTTAATTCAACCAAATCCTTTGCCGCTCGCTTTCTCATAAACTTAGAAACACGAGTAAAAGACATACTTGAAGTAGGACTTTCTTTAGAAGAAACCCCACTTGAAGAATTCACTTCACTAGATACTTCATTGCTTTCAGAGCTAGTTTCACAATTCACATACCAATTGTAAATAGACATCATATTGTCTTTCAAAATATTTGTCATATTACAAGCAGCTTCCTCATCCTCATAAATATCACCAAAACAAAAATCAGCATACTCTAATTTGTATCTTGGGTCAAGTATAGTAGCAATCAACAACAATTGGTTAACATTTTCAATTTTTCCCCAATATTTGTCAAATTCTTTTTTCATGTTCGTAGCCACATCACTCAAAAGATAATCACCATTTTTACTCCATTCTTCCAATTCAGTCAAAAGTGAACATACTTCATGAAAATAAATATTAGAACTCACACACAATGAAGTACTAAACTTCAAAATTACTTCATAAAAGCCTTTAAGGAACTTCACAAAAACAGAAGCATTTTCCCAATCAAAAGTGCTAGGAGGTCCACCCCTTTTTCTACCACCATCATACTCTTGAAAATAATTGAAATATTGTACAACATCATCCTCTAACCTTTCAAAAGCTTTTTGGAATTTTAAAGTAGCTTCCAACAAGTGATATATCCAAAAATACATGTGATTTACAACCAATCTTTTCTTGACTCGCACACTCCTTAAACTTTTGTTCTCTAGCAGGAGAAGATTTAACATATTTCGCTGCATTGCGAATATTAACAATTGATGTATGTGCTTCCTTCAATCCCTCACATACAATCAAATTAACAATATGCGCACAACACCTCATATGCAAATATTTTCCATCCAAAACACACTCATCACTACTCCTACCAATCATCTTCCTCTTAAGATAAGATATAGCCGTTTCATTTGCAGTTGCATTGTCAACCGTGATTGTAAACACTTTCTCAATACCCCATAAACGACAAAATTCTCTAAACCCCTTACCTTCGACAAAGCTAAAAGATAGCTCATCAATTACTATTATCTTATCACACACAAGTCTACATTCTTCTTTATTAAAGCCAACAACAATAAGATTGTTCCCGACCCGACCCGTAATAATTAAAAAAAACCACCCGACCCAGCATGAAATAATTTAAAAACCGACTCGACCCAATACGATTCGGATTGGGTCAGGTCGATTTTGTGGGCTGTGGTTTTTTTGGCCCAGTCCTAATAATGTCCGTCCGTTTGTTTACAAAGACTCAGCGAGTCGAGAGAGAGACTAATGTTATTAGTCTCATTGGATTACAACCTCAGTTTAGATGTCATTAATGTGATATTAAATGATAGATATAATTAAATAAGTCATTTAATTTCATTTTTCATTTAACNTAATAGTGAAGTGTTCCCATACATCCGAAGATTTCCTATTTTTCCTTTTCCCTAAACATGATTGTGGAAGTGGAGAGATGTAGCACTATTTTCTAAATTTATTGTTGGGAGAGTTTCATCAATAGTTTGAATTTCACTATCCATATCCATATTCATCATTTTTTTTCCTGTTTGTCATAAAGAAGAATAACATATTGTGCAATCTCAATACAACAGTGATTTTGCAACTTTTTGTTCAAAAGATAGAGGAGCATTCATCAAGAGAATTTGTAATCTCTCTGTAATGAAAAATAAGGGAAGACTAAAAGAGGACTTTGAACTGAAAAACCAAATATAAAAGCCACTAACCTATAATTTCAAATTTGTGGGCTAAAGTGGCAGTTACTTCAACAGGTGGAAAAGGCCATAGGGGCTAAACTTGAAAGTGCACCTAAATAGCTCAAAAGAACAAGAAATGAAAGTATCTCACAGCGTCAATAGTATAAAAAGTATCTTCAAATCAAGAACAGTTTGAAAAAATTAATGGGGCAGGTTACTTGTATTCGGGGCTGGATCTTCAAAACGAGACACGAGAAGAAGGTGGGCTAGCGGTTGCCATAAACGGCCGGAACATATACCTACTTCGTATTACCAGAACTGAAATGGAATTTGAGAACAGATTTTCAAAAATAGTCCTCCGATTAGGGATTTAGAATGGCGATAAAACCTTAATCAGTGCAAAAATAAGACCATTAAATTGATTTTGGGGAATAATAGTAGAGATTTGGTGTAATGGTGCAAATTAGTGAAAAGAATTAAAACCTTTAATATCAAAAAATACACGCAGATGAAGGAGAAGAAGGTTACCAGTGAGCAAGAACAGTGGTTGTCTTTCAGATCGATGGCAGCTTGAAATCAGCGAGAACAATTATAATGTTAAGGGAAGACGCGGCTTGCTTCAAATGTGGGGTTTCACATTTTTATTGGGCTTGGTCGGTTTGGAAGGAGGTTAACAGTGACCCGACCCGTAATACTTAAAAAAACCACCCGACCCAGCATGAAATAATTTAAAAACCGACCCGACCCAATACGATTCGGATTGGTTCAGGTCGATTTTGTGGGCTGTGGTTTTTTTGGCCCAGTCCTAATAATGTCCGTCCGTTCGTTTACAAAGACTCAGCGAGTCGAGAGAGTCTCATTGGATTACAACCTCAGTTTAGATGTCGTTAATGTGATATTAAATGATAGATATAATTAAATAAGTCATTTAATTTCATTTTTCATTTAACTTATTATTTAGCGCTACCTAAATTGGGATGATAACCTCAATGAGATTGCATAGCATTACTCTTTAGGAGAAATGGATTTTAGGTGAAGTTGGAGATTTGGAAGATGATTTGCCACACGATCTACGAAAAAGGTTAATTGGCCAACTTATTTTCCTGTCATTCAAGTGGGCATGTCTATTAACGGATTGATTATGGAGTTGAATGGAGCAAAGTTCAATTGTCAATGAGATAATCAATGAAGTTTATTTAGAACTATATGGTGCCAATGACACATTTACCTTGCGTAAATAGGGTAACTATTCAAGACGGATGCACAATTTTTCATTTATTTAGAACGCGGAAAATTTGCCTTTGTGCTCCTAAAACAGCAACACAATCAAAATGTCATCGCTGTTTCGTTATAGTCGTTGGGCTTCCCAGTTCAAAAAATCTCCACCAATCTTCACCCTCTTTTCCACCGCCACCAACGAGTCACAACCGAATCGCCCTTCGCCGCCTCCAATCCGAGTGGGTCTCATCGACTCCGTAGGCCGAGCAGTTTTTGCGACTCGGAGAATCGGCACGGGTGAACTCATTCACACCGCCAAACCCATTGTTGCTCACTCCTCTCTCTCTTCGCTTCACAAAGTCTGCTATTTCTGCCTCAGAAAGCTCCCAAACTATAAAACACACTCCGAAGCTCATAAAAATTTGGCATTTTGCAGCGAACACTGCAAAGACCAGTCCAAGGTGCATACAGGCGCCTTCTATTCAATGAACAAATTAATAGTTCTTTAGCTTTGATTTTTATGTTTATTAAGAATATATGTTTTTGTCTTTATATGCTTCTTGATATAATATGTTTTTGGGTTGATGTATCGTCTAAATTATGTGAATTAATAGATGGCTACTAAGTGTTTGAAAATGTGCTCCCGAGTAGCATCTTTTGATTCTGGTAGTTTCTTGCATATTCTTTTTCTTTATGAGGAATGAACAGTATTTTTCTGCTTTTCTTGGAGATTTGGACTCACTAGATTAAATACTTTCTGTGTAAATGATGCTAAATGGAAGTCCACTATGTGTTTGAATTTGAGCTATATAGTCTCGTTTTGAATGATGAATCTTTAATATGCACCCAATATGATTAATTAAACGTTATATTCCAAAAGTTTAAAACAAAATATTATACAGTGTAGAATTCGGATTTTTTTTTTTTTTTGGTTTGGTTTTAATATTATATGCACGGGTGTGAAATATTACTATGTCTAATTTTAGTTGTATGTCTTAATTTTATTTCGAACTGACCCTGTTTATCAGTTTTGAATTGTTACTTATGCTTTAAAGTTTATCATATTTACTCATTAGATAAATTAAAGAGATGAAAACGTAGGATGTTTTATTGGAGAAAATGGAGATAGAAAAACTCGTTATTAAATGGGACAATTTAGGCTGTTATCTGTATCTTTTCTACTTATAGCTAGATTCTTGTTCTACATGTAGCAATCATATCTTATTTTGCCTTTCATTTCCATCGGACTTAATTCATTCATGCTTTGCTAATTTATCTAATGGCATCAGAACTTTTATGAGATTGAGAACAAAGCAGATTGGTCAAGATTCACTGAATACTGTCGGTATGGAACTGTTGGCCTTTTATTGAATTTTTGTTGATAATAGTATTTATTTACCACATTTTTATGTTTCCTTAGTCATCTGGTTAGATGCTGATTTTTATTAATGTTTTCTTTCTGGCGGTCTACTTATAATTTGTTGATATGTATGGGAAAGAATGATATAAGGAAAAGAAAAGTAAAGAGAAATGGCCAGATTGCTGAGTAAGAGTTCCACTGGAGGGGAAAACAAGAAATCTTTAGCAATTTACATCTTTTCAGTAGGCTGCCCAGGCTATGGACTGTGAAAATGTCATATCCTGCACCTGCATCTTCTTAAGTAAAATTCTTTCATGAGATTAGATATGTGGATTCTCATAACTCGTCATATATATATATATATATTCACTAATTTGTTGGCAAAATGGGCTTATTGTTATTCACTTGTAAAAATGTATCATTTCTTGGTTCCTCTTTTCATTTATCATCCAAGTATCTAAATCTTTTCCTTTTTTCCTTTTTTTTTTTTTTAAGAGATGTATATCTGATCTATACTGAACTTTCCTTAGGTACATTATGTCGGGAAGGATTCAATTCTTACGAATTTTAAACTCTCACAATAATGAGCCCCATTTTTTTGGGAGAATAAATTTCGTAATAGTGATTTTTTGGAGAATGTGTGGTTAAAAAATATGGAAAAATTTAGGTTTATGTGTAAAATTATTTTATTGGAAAAATGTATGGTGAAAATGAGTTTGGGGGAAAATGGGTCTCAAACCTGGGCTAGATGAATAATTCCTGAGATTATCTCCTTTGTTTATGTTATAACTTACACATCATTGACTTTGTGAGATTTAAGAGCTCATGAAATTCAACCACAAAGTGCTCGTACTATATAATTAATGAAAATTTCTTGAACTCCTATGTATTTTTTTGTTTCAATTCTAGCCAAATGAACAAAGCCTTAGAGAAAAGATAAAATGCTGAACTCGTGAAAGCTATTATCTCATGTTATAACTAAAACGTCATCGACTTGTGAGATTTAAGAGCTCATGAAATTCAACTACCAAGCGCTCGTACTATATAATTCCTGAGAATTGCTTGAACTCCTACGTGTTTTTTTGCTTCGATGCTTGCCAAATAAAAAAAGCCTTGGAGAAAAGATAAATTGATGAGGTCATGAAAGCTATTATCTATGAAGATTGCAGGGTCTAAAATATCCTCTTCTAGTCAAGCGGTTTGCTTGTCAGGTTATATCTGGGGTTGTCTCTGCTGATAGTCTTGACATACTTCAGCCAGCAACTTTAACTTCTGAAATGGTTTCACTGGTAAGCATCTCCATTTCCTCTCAGAAGACCTTATGTTTTGTACTTAAATTTACTAATTTAGTAGAGGCCATAATAACCTGGACATGTTCCTGCATAATTATAAATAAGGATAAAGTTACAGTGCCCTAAAAAAAAATTCAATTGGAATTCTATGTTCAAAAGAAAATTGTCCTCTTCAACTCAAAAATGCGTTGACATGGTAGATTGTAAGTCATCTACTGGCATACTTGAAAAAAAAAATTAGTTAAAGAGAGGTACGACCAATCATGTTGTAAGTATTCGAAGTGAAAATTCGTGATAATTATATTGGTTTATTTTTCTTCCATTGGTTTTCAGATGGAAAAGGAATTTTGCCTGCTAAGAAGCACGTTTCAGGAAACAGATATTAAAGGGGAGCATATGGCTTGTATCCTTGTGCTGTAGAAGCTTATCAAGATTAGCTATCATTAAAGTCACTTTTTCCCCCTGATTTCTTGATGCCTGGCATACTTTATTTTTACAATTATAAGATTTTTTCAAACTGAAAATTTATGGAGCTTCAAAGAGAATGAATCTTTGACTTGCTAGTTCTGACTAAGGAATGGTATACTGGTGTTTTGGCTCGGATGCGCATCAATTCCTTCCGCATTGAATTGGCTGGAGGATCGTATGAAGATTTTCTTTCCTCAGCAGCTGCATCAGTAGAAGCAGAAGTTGCTATCGGCAATGCTGTTTATATGCTTCCATCCTTCTACAATCATGATTGTGGTAAGATCTCTCATTTCACAGCAAGCTCAGTCCTCACTGTTTATTTTATAGCTTTAGGAACACCTTTTCTCGTTGATGGCAAATGGGTCCCTGAAATTGTATTTTCATGAGAAAGGGTCCCTTGTCAATTTGTCTGTTCCAATCAAGCATTAAATCTGGTGGAAAGAAAGTTTTTCAAATTCAATTTAAAATAAAAAATCAAAAGATAGAAGAACACCCTCCCCATCATCCAGCCTCCTCCCCTTCCCAAACTCTCACCTCCAGAATTGATGTGCCCAATCAATAACCAATAACTCCTTGGTGCCACAAAACAGTTTTAAAGGCCTAAGTCTTTCCTTCTCCTTTTTCCTAACGGAAGACACTTCAATAATACTTCAACAAAATCAGGAGGTATGAACTTGAATTCTGATATGTAGGAATGGACACTATTTTAATAACTAGATAGAAGTGAATACTCGAAATTCAAGAAAAACAAGGTTACATAAATATTTATTTTGTTTAAGAAAAGGTTATATAGTTAGAACAGCACAGAGACAATATTAATGTGGTAGGGTCATGCATATGACTTAATTCTTTTATTTCAGATCCAAATGCACATATTTTGTGGGTGGAAAATGCGGATGCAAGAATAAAGGCTTTACGTGACATTGAAACAGGTCTATTTCTGTTCACACTTTTAACATTGCTAAGGTCTAGAGTGAAAGAAAATGCTGGTTCAGTTTACAGCAGAAAAAAGTGTTTTGCTGATATTGTCATCAATAATTATTAGTAACTTGAACATGAGTTAGTTTGTTTTCAGTGGACTAACGCAGTCTTTTCACTGTGAGCAATACTTGGGACGTGAAAGTCTTGAATCACTTTTAGGATATATCAATAGATTGTATTAGCTTCAGCATTAATGTGTTGCGTGCACTTAATTTCTTAATCGTTTGTGGGATATTGCGTTGATGTTTAAGTCCTCGTCATATGCTTTTGCAGGGGAAGAGTTGCGGATATGCTATATTGATGCAAGTATGAATCACGAGGCTCGACAAACAGTGTTGTATAAAGGATTTGGTTTTTTGTGCAATTGTCCTAGATGTTTGTCAAATGATTAAACTTATTACTGTAGTTTTCGCTAGAAAAGAAAAAGAAAAATAAGGAATGATCAGTTCAGTCAGCACTTAAACAAAAGAGAGAGATGAGACTGTGCCGTATATTATCTCTCTGTGTTTTTATCAAGATAATTACTTGATTGGTCATTAATGTAATCTCATCCATCACCCAGTGAGAATTTCAAAAGTTTCAACGTTCACAGTGATAAATGAGATTACATTTTGTAAAGTTCCGTGACTAATTAGAAAACTTTTGAAGTTCAGTAATCCTCTGAAAACTTTACCCAAAATTCAGTGACCAATTTGGTAATTAACCAATCTTTATGTTTTTTTAGTCTTTCTTTTTGTTACTCCTACTCACAATTTTATTCTCTCTAGTATCGCCATACTTAAAAATAATAATAGCCTTTTACCTCGGGTAATCGACAAGGTTGTTTGCTTCTAAAATCAAAGAGGCAACAGATGTCAGTTCTTTGGGTTGCTTTAGCTCCGATCGTCTTTTCATCTCAACACACCGAAATAAAAATAATTAAATTCTTAGTTGAAGATGTGTTGAATACTATAAAGTGATAAATGCTAAACAAGTTCTCTATCGAAATTGTTGATTGCATGGACCTTTGTTGCCTTTTTTATTCTAGAGAGGTTAGCAGACAATCTTATCAGATATCCTCGAGATAAAAGATTGTTCTTTTTTCTAAGTTCGATGATGCTAGAGAAAATAAAATTGTGTGAGTAAGAGTATAGAAAAATGGAGTTGGAGTAAAAAATGTAAAAGTAAAAAGTAAAAAAAATAGAAAAAACATAAAAAATTGATAAATTACATGATTAGTCACTGAACTTTAAAGTTTCCTTATTAGTCGTTGAAATAACAAAATGTAATCACATCTATTAATGTGAAATTCAAAAGTTTTCCCGTTAATCATTGCGCCTTTTGTACTCAGTGACTTTTTAAAGTAATTTAAGTTTGTCTTCACTAAAAAAAAAAATGATACTCCCTCCGTCCCATTTATACATACCGATTTTGGTTTTTACACAGATTAAGAAATTTTATTCATCTCCCATTTGGCCCCAATTATTTGAGATTTTAATTTTTGGAATAGTGTTTTTTTGAAGAACGTGGTTAAAAAAGAAGAACGTTTTAGGTTTACGTGTAATATAATTTTATTAGAGAATATGTGGTTGATAAGAAGAGAGTGAAAAATAGATTATTTTAATAGTGAAAAAACAATTTTTGCAATGAGTTTTTCTAGTTTACTCTTATTTAATTATCCATAACTAATAGTTAATAATGGTGATTAAATGTGTTTTTGTCCATATTTCCAAGAAGAAGTGGTAAATGTGTATATGTATTTGGATAACAAACTTGCTACATGTACAAATTTTTTGTACAGCATACATTACAGCCCTCTCACATGGAGTGTGGGCCCTGCGATCACGGGACCTACGTTATGTGAGAGAGCTGTACAAACAGCTTTATTGTTTGGATAACTCTAAGAAGGTAAATTAAAATTTGTACAATTTCAAGATTGAATGAGAAAAATTGGTCATATCTAGGCACATTAAATAATGATATATTAGTAAACAAACAAAATAAATACTTTCTCAATAAAAAAAAATGATTATATAATTGAAACAAGAAAAACAAGGAAAGTCAGCCTATATAAATGGAACGAGGGAGTATAAATTAAAGAAAGATGACAAGGGTTTTGCCAATTTAGCCGTTGGCAAGTAAGTGAGTGCAGGGTGGCAAAAAGAGAGCTTTTTTGTTATTCTCCTAATTCTCATATCCTACAACCTTAAAAACCTCAATCCAACAATCTTTTTATTCTCACCCTCACTCTTTTCCTGCCTCTTAAATCAAACCAAACTCATATCTTAATCAAACTACTTATTTCTTAATTGCTTTTTCTTTCTTTCTATCAAAAAAAAGTAGCTGACTTTTCACCTCAAAGCATTAGGTTGTTTTGCATTTCTTTATCTTTTCGTCTGCAATAATGGATGCTTTGTCTCTGACCTCCATATCTGTAGCATCAAAATGGGTTGTAAAAGCGTCCGATAAAAATAAGCAGAAACAAGTGTATTGTCACCAAGTTGGTGGTGGTCCTCATGCAATAAAATCAAGTGGTATGTCTTCTGTTTTGATTGAAAAATCAACTGTGATTAGCACAGATCATGGAAGGGGCATAATGGAATCTGGCAATGTAGTTTCAACCTCAAATGGGAATACCCAGGCTACAGCAGATATTGCAGTCAAGGATTTGGTACCATATGGTGGTGGTTCATCTACTCTGGTGGATAGGCATGATGATCATGACGATGGCATTGGCATTGTTAATTTTCTTAGAGGAAAATCTCTTCTCATTACTGGTGCAACTGGTTTCCTAGGAAAAGGCAAGTCAGTTTCTTCATTTTCCAGTTTTTTTTCTTCCAGCCGCTTTTAAAAACAGCTTTTAAGCACATCTAAACATCTTCTTTCTTTATGTTTTGTCTTCTGTTTCTTGACGAATAAATTCCAGTTCTTATTGAGAAGATACTACGGACAGCACCTGATGTTCGTAAGATATTCGTTTTGATCAAGGCAAAAAACAATGAAGCTGCAATGGAGAGATTGAAAAATGAAGTATGAGTATCTTTGGTAGTATTATGATTAGATATTTCGAGCTTATATTATCGATTATTAATACTACTGTATTATATATATAGATCATTAATGCAGAACTTTTCAAGTGTCTGAAAGAAACCCATGGGAAATCTTATCAGCCTTTCATGTTGAGCAAGTTGGTCCCCGTTCTTGGAAATGTCTCTGAATATAATCTTGGATTCGATGGAGATAAAGCTGATATGATGGGAAAAGAGGTTGACATAATCGTAAATTCAGCAGCTAATACAACTTTTGATGAAAGGTTAATGAAAATTTTCAATTATAAGTAGAATCATAAACAAAATGTGAAAATATGTAATTCACATTGATCTAATTGTGTTTCAGGTATGATGTTGCCCTTGATATTAACACTGGCGGACCTACCCGTCTCATGAACTTTGCAAAACAGTGCAAGAAACTTAAACTCTTCATACAAGTATCTACAGGCAAGTTAATGTATATATGTTTCATTGTTTTGTATGTATATATGGTTCTTGTCAAACACTAAAAATAATTCCGAAGTAGAAACATGAATTGTCTGAGATATCACATTCTTGTTAATTGAAGAACATATTTTGGAGAAGTTTTTTTATTGCATGCAGCATATGTCAATGGACAACGACAGGGGCGAGTGATGGAGAAACCTTTCTGCTTAGGAGATAGTATAGCAATGGAGAGTCTTTCAGGAAACCAACAAATATCCCTTCCTACGTTGCAAGTTGAGGATGAAATCAAGTTAGTTTTGGAATCAAAACAGGGTTTCAAAGATAATGTACTGATCCCGGGAATGAAAGAACTCGGTTTACAGAGGTAACAAGTATTCAAATTTGACTTCACCGGTTTAGCGTTGTTGCTAAGATAGTCCTAAGTGTCCTAACTATGCACTGATGCACACAACCTAGCCCACTATGAAATTTTTCTATCTATTGTTCTATTCTTTCACATCAAAATTTTAGTAAATCCTATTTTCTATCCAAGTAACTGTATTTTCGCTGCTCTGAAACTGGTGACTTTTATCAGGGCAAACAAATTCGGGTGGCAAGATACCTATGTATTTACAAAGGCTATGGGAGAAATGATGATTGATAGTATAAGAGGTGACATACCAGTAGTTATAATTAGACCAAGTGTAATTGAGAGCACATACAAAGAGCCATTCCCTGGATGGATGGAAGGAAACAGGTAATTTCATGTATAAATCTTGTCTAATTAACTGTTATTGAGTCGGGAATGTATCAAACTTACCCTAAAAGAATATGAAATGAGATGATGAACTTTGATATTAAGAAGAGTCTTTCCTCCCCAGGATGATGGATCCAATTATTCTCTACTATGGAAAGGGGCAACTTACAGGATTTCTAGTAGATCCCAATGGAGTCATTGATGTAGTAAGTAGCTCGACTCTACTTCATAAACCAGTGATCTTTAGTCACCTCATCATCTGGTCTCTCATTTGGAACTCTCTGATAATTTCTATGGAAAACAATACTTTAAAGAGAGTAAATTCTATGCCTTCAAAATTAAGAAGCAAACCTCTTATTGTAAGGTCTCAAATTATAACAAGAAGAGTGCATTTATTTTATGTAACATAGCACGTAATCTAACAGCTGGCTTGCTTTAGGTTCCAGCTGATATGGTGGTCAATGCGACATTAGCAGCCATGGCAAAGCATGGGGCAGCTGGAAAATCTGAGAGCAATATCTATCAAATTGCTTCTTCTGTTGAGAACCCATTAGTTTTCAAAGACCTAGCCAGGTTGCTCTATGAACACTTCAACTCCTCGCCCTTCACCGACTCAACAGGGACACGAATCCGTGTCCCAGAAATGAAGCTTTTCAGCTCTATGGAAGATTTTTCATCTCACCTTTGGAGAGAGGCACTTAAACGAAGCGGGCAAGGAGCTTTGACCAACCTTGATGGAAAGTTGTCCCAGAAGCTCAAAAGTATCTGCAAGAAATCAGTGGAACAAGCAAAATACTTGGCTAATATTTATGAACCATACACTTTCTACAGTGGAAGGTAAGAGATTAAGATTTTGCACTTTTCTATACCTTCTTTTTTTCCTTAATCCTGTCGAGCACTGTCCAGTTCAGCATTCCTAATATATCAATCATGTACATAACAAATACTGCCAGGTTTGACAATAGCAACACAAAAAGACTGATGGGATACATGTCCAAGGAGGAAAGCCATCAGTTCGGGTTTGATGTTGAGAGCATAGATTGGCAAGATTACATCTCTAAGGTCCACATTCCAGGATTAAGGAGGCACGTGACAAAGGGTAGATGATTGCGAAACTACAGTGACTTCTGCTGAAAGAATTTCTGTTAATTTCTGCAGCCAACTGTAAAAGAACTGCTTTTTTTTTCTTCCTAACTACTGTAATTTCCTAGTAAGAATAGATAAAAAGAAGACATGCGTATCTACCCCTAATGTATTATCATTTCAATGTACTTCTATGATGAATCATAATCGCCTGAGTTTCCTCGGTTCTACATGGAACTCCGACTAAACTTAGGCAGCATGCTTGTCTTAGAACTTCATTAATTCAGTTGACATTAAGATCAAATGCAAAGCTAATAAATGTAAATTCTTTCCTCAAACCTTACTGCTCAATATTATTAAGGACTCGAAAAGAGAGAAATATTTTGTTAGTCTGCCAAGACTTCCATATTAATAGTAACAGAACTGCCAAGATAGAGGGAGGGCGTGCTACGAGCTCCCGGTGGACCAAGTTCTGATAAAACAGCGTATTTTCCGATCTACCTGTAGTGCAAGATGCTGGGCGGCATGGAACCACGGGTAACTAATATCTACTAATTCATAATCGCTTGAGTTTCCTTGGTTTTACATTGAACTTTGATAAAACTTAGGCTCCATTATTGTCTTAGAACTTCATGAATTCAGTTTTAAAGGTAATCAATGTTATGTTCATATGCCAAAGTTAGTAAATGTAAATTATTACCTCAAACTTTATACCTCGTATCCAAACAACAGAAGAAAAATCATTAACTGAAATCAGATGTGCTCCAATATGAAACATTCTCTTTTAAGAACTTCTCAAACGCTGTATTTATCTGCCAAGTATACCATGTTAACAGAAGCAGAATTGCAGAAGTTAATCATCTTCATTTATAGTCACATATTATACATCAAAGTTCGGAAACGATTCTAAACAACAAACCTACAGAAATAGCGGCAATTTTCTATTTACTGCCCAACATAGAAAACCCCCACCTCGCACCCAGAAAACAAAAAAAAAAAAAACAAAAAATTGCCAAAGAAAAATGATGTTTCCTTTATGAAAAAGATACATGCCAAGCATCACAGGCCTAGGTGAGAGAATAGAGAAGGAACGAGATCTACAACAGACCAGGCAAGACCTGCATACTGAAGGAGCCTTATGCCAGTGTCAATGTCAAATGAGGTCTGCTTTGAGAAGAAAAACAGTTTTTGGACATAGCTGGATTGCTTAAGATCCGACCTTTTACCCGTACCATTTAATGCTGGTATGTAGCTAGTTGATCTTACAGGGATTCCCAAAGTGTAAGCGAGAATGGGAAGAATCCATTTGGCCAGTGCCTTGCTACAGAACTTCACGAGAAGTATTGTTGGGATTCCCACAAGCATTCTAACCACAAAAGCAAGAAGCCCGAGTTGAGAGATCAATATGCGCGGAACATTTTCATGGTGAAACTGGTGATATGTTTGCTGTATCCCAATTACCTGGATAAAATTATTTCAAGTCACAGAATTCACATATCTGAAAGTCATGATGAGAGAGGAATGAATAGAAAGTGCAAGTTATACATTGACATAACTGGATGTCCATTCATTTTTTACACCATTTTGCAAAAAAATTCAATGTTAATGCATGAAACAAAACAGAAGGCGAAGTACATATTAATTCTCCTTCCACTGGCAACATTATTCCTGTTAACGCAAATGACTAACTTGAAAATACGTTCAAAATACGAGCTGCAAACGTATGCTTACAATTCCCAAGGCAACACCATTGAAGGCTGTGTGATACTCGTAACTTGGAGTTGGAAGCTCTGGTGTAGGGTAAGCAAAGAGTAACAAGAAGCTAAGCGTAACCCAGAACGACGCAACTGCAACAAAAGGATATGAAGGCATAAAACACATATCAAAATGCTTAAAGATTAGAATCAATAAAGGCAAAGCGCATCAAGTACCAAAGGACAAACTCCAACTAATAAGGCTACCATCCAGACATGATTATACCATATCACCATGTTCTGCAATAAAAGCTTGAATTGTATTGTATTCTCTCTTTACCTCTTATTTTCTATTTTCATGAAGTTTCAAATCTTTGGTACTTTAATGCTCTTAAATGCATTTCTTGATGCTGAAATTAGAGCACATTCAATTCGTAGGCTAACATTTGCTAACATGACAACCTTAGACAGCTTGGCCATTCATCAGTATTCTATGATGTCTGGAACCAATCAGGGTTGAATAATCACCACATATATAAGAATATTATTCAATAGGCATACCGCACGACATTAAAGGAAGATTTACAGACTGTAAGACTAGCTATGTTTAGAAAAATAGAAACCACAGACACTTAAGAGATCACAAAAATAATATGTATTTCAGTTAGAAATAAATACATTCAAGGGCATGGTCACTTCCCATTGCTGCCACTGGAAAATTTTTTGAACTCTTTTGGAGAAAGATAAGCACACACTTTCATTGGAAGGTTAAGCAGATAACAGCATAGATAAACTGAGAGATAATAATATACATCACTTACGCATGTTTAACTTGGAAATGCACATGTAAGAAGTGTGATGTTGTTTGACAGTTGACAGAAGAGGTGAGTCAAATTAGACAAGATAACAAGAAGTCTTCATCTAACAGTTGTAACGAAGAACTGGCCAATTATTTTTAGCAGAATGAGAAAATATTGGTCTTGTAGGAGATATTTAAGAGAAATTATAAGGGCTTGTTTGGTAGTACTTTCAAGTGCTTATAAGTTGTTGGTTCTATGGAATGTAAGGATAAATATGTGGGCAGCAATTTATGGATTCTAAGAAAAATGTGAATAAAGAGGATGTTTGACTAGCTTAAATTATAATTTAAGCAATGCCAAGAATACAGTAAGTTTTTATTGATCCAAAATTGAATTGCTTTTGACCGGCTTAAAATTAAAATTTACGCATTTAACTCTTTAGCATGCCAAGCTCTGCCAATAGGTAATTATGCATTTACCAAGTTGGTAAAACTTCGTTTATTTTATCACAAATAATCACTTTGCTAATATCAGACATTACTAATGTTACACTTAAGATTAAATTCAAAGAATATTATGGTTTTATCAATTAAGGAAGCCATTCTGTTGCTTTTCTTGAGTATTCACAAGCACTAGTGACGTGACATTAATTAAGATAATGACAGCAAAGTTTGCGACTCAAGGATGAAATGCTGCACAGGTCAGCATCCCTACCATTTTGTCCCGAAACCACGAAATCATCTATGTACATGTCAACAGAAAGCCACAACGTTAGAATCCCCAATCCAAGAGCTAGACCACCAATAATGTCGATCAAGCTGTGCATCCCGAGGTAAATCCTTCCTACAAGATAACAAATTTTCAAAATGGGAAAAAGAGTAAATTATAAAAAGAATAAAAGAGAAGTGAAAAACATAAAGAATAAGGTCAAACTTACCCACGCCAATAAGACCAACAACCAAACAAACCAGGGCAAACCCCATTAATTCTGTGCTGACATCATGGCTTCCAGTGTATGACAGGATGTAGTGTAACATGTACCTGGTTGCCCAAAAAGAAGCTTAAGATTTAAGTTATATCCTAGTATATAGGCGTGTTCTGATTTCTAAATCGCTAATTTGCTAAACTAGAACATTGTAATAGCATTTTAAAACTTAGAACCATGTATTGGAACAGAAAGGCGTGCATTTTTGCGTGTACAATGACGTTAATCACACGAAAAATGTAATCGTACCATATTTCTGCATTTATGGCCATTGTACAAGAAGTTCATATACACCTTCGTAATGTATTGAGAATAAGTTTGTGGTTTTCGTAAAAGTATTTCGTGTACACCCTCAAGAAGGCACGACTTAAAGCCACAGCGTCCAATGTGCATCAGAATCTCGTATGCCTTACAATTGTGTAGCTAGTTACATAGAAGTTCAACCAGAAGCATAAAAAGCTACAAGAATCAAATATGAGAGGATCTCCATACCCTGATAAGCAGACAGTATTAAGAGTATGTGAAGAAGGTAATCCGTATTCCATTGCATTATCTTCCTCATCTTTTGTGGCTGTTAGTCTCCTAACAGGTGGTGAACTTGGTCTGGGTGCTGATATCACATCCTACAAAACATGGTCCAAACAAAATTGCAGAATAGGATTGAAATAATTAATGCGGAAATATGCAAGGAAATATATAATTATACATGTAATGATCAAAATAGGGCAAAGAGAGTACCTTTATACAATTTCCCATATAATCACAAAAGCACATTAAAAGAGTCATCTGCCTAGCCAATTTGCAATGCCCACTCTACAATATAAAACCAAGAAAACAACATTAATGATTAATTCCCTCAATAAATGTAAATCTGGTAGAGGGTGATAGATAACAAACCCAGAAGAGCAAAGGAAGAAAGGCAGTGTAGAAAGGCACGGAAACTACACAAGACAGCCCAGAAAATAACGCATCCAAATATCTATGCTCGTATTTCTGCAGGACCCAACAAAGTTAAATAAAGATCATTCCAAAAACTCCATAAAAATCCAATCTCTCAATACATATTCTTCAGATTAACAAAGCCCTCAAATACAAACCTGGATCTTGAGAACAATGGAAGTACCAGACATTACATAGCGAGAGATCCATGGCTGTGTAAGAGATCTGAGTTTCTGGGTCACGTTGAGAATTGAAGAAAACACAATCCATGTTGCTATTCCACCTAGAAAACTTACTTGCCACCCCGGTACGCTTTCCATCCTAAATTCTTGTTATGAGTTTTCTCTTATTTTCCCTCTTCCTGATTCTCTGTTCCAGTGTCTCTGAGAAAGAGGGACGTTGAAAAAGAAGATGAAACCTCAAAAACTTCCAAAAATACAAATATCGAATTGTGGAAAACTATGAATTGGACTTGGACGACTCTGGCTCTCCAGTTGGAAACAGAGAGGAGGCTCTGATTCTCTTGAATTTCTCTCTTTACTTTATAGTTTATTATTTCTGCATTTGACAATTTTCCAATTGTGAGGTTCTTAGGTGGGGGGTTAAATAATGAAGAAGCTTCGTTGGATTGGATTTGTAGCTGATATGGAAAATTCCACACGCGTAGCTTATTTGACCAGTAGAAAATGTACGTACGGTTAGAGAAATGAGTAAAAAATAATTGAAAAATGATAATGATAATTGAAGAGGCTCAACGGATGGACAGACTCACTCGATCGCTCCTCCTTTTTATTTTATTTATTTATTTTTTTTTTATTAATCATGCTTCGACACAATTACCCCTTATTTTTTAAAAAGACTATCGAATATGACAAGAAGAAGATACACAAATGTCAAACTTAATGTTTATGTAATACTTTCGTTTCAATATTTGAAATTGACTATTTTATTTTTTTTATTAATTTTTTTTTCTTTTGTGACCTTCTATTAACATTAAGAATCATACTTCATGTACAGAAATAGGGGTGTCCAAAAGTTTCGGATCGAATAGAATCGGATCGAACCGAACCGAACCCGAACCGAATCAAGCGGGTCTTCATAAGTTAAATACCCGAACGGGTACCCTAATCGAGAATCGATGGGTTTGGGTCGGGTCTCGATTCTAGACCAAGAACCGAATAAGACCCGAAACTAAATAATTTTTCTTATTTTTTATATTGAATTAATTAAATTATTTTATGTTTTCTAAACAAATTAGCAAATTAATTAAATAAATCAGATTATTTCATAATTTTAATTTTAAAACCCAAACCATTTTTAAAGCCCATTAATCCATTTTAATTTGCTCATGACTATTCGATTTTGCTCATTAAGTTTAAAGCCTTCAAATGAGATAAAATTAATTTTATTGAACAGCTAGTTATTTATATATTTTTGAATTGTGCTACGTTAATTTGTAAAAGTTACGAATGAAATGTTATTAGTTGTATTTATGTAGTGTTGCTGTAAATATTAAAAAAATTAATTATGGTACGGAACCGAATCGAACCGATCCGATCCGATCCCAATGGAACCGAACTTGAACGGTTCCATAATTATATTTGGATCCGACGGTTCCATTTATTAAATATCCGAAAATCTAAACCGACTGTGAG